AATTTTTGTATTGTTAGTACTTCAGGTCTCCAGGAGCGAGAAGATGTCGAATTTGTTTACATAAGATACAAAGTCTAAATCCTCTAATTTGGGTCCTAACCCATGCACGTTCCAAACTCCAAAGCTTTTGTTTCCGGTGCCTGGAATTATTTTCATCCTGTTGACAAATACTAAGAAAAAGAGAAATTGTGTCTTTACCTCACGAAACCACAATACGTTACTAAACTACAATACGTGTACCTGACAGGGTTTAAGCAATTTAGTGTTCAAAAAAAGAGGAAAGAAAATCTTGGACAATAAAACTACGTGTTTTGGCTACAGTGTATGTCCAATTTTCAAATTAAGATATCATTGAGAAAAAGACTACAATGCTAACTGACGTATCATACTTGTAGGTGATTGTATTTTGGTAAACTACTAGTATTTAACGTTGTACCGTACTGTACATTCGAGCTAATCAGCTATGTTATCCGGTCTTACGCAGCTTGTACTTACAAATACAAAGCTGGTGTGTTACGCCTAAAAGCGGTTTACCGGTTATGCGAAACAAACAAAGCTATACATTTTCTACATCATTTGTTTTTATATTACTTATGCTAAGGTCACAATTCCCACAGCTTTTGGGAACGAAATATACGATATAAAAGACAACAAAACACAGAAAAGTTGTTAATAACAATCGTGGGCCCTATTTCTGTATATTCTTGATATGAATAGTTAATTTTTCGTTCATACAAACAGCCCGACCGGGCCCCGCGGCCGGTTTGGAAATGTGACCTAAGCATTAACCGGTGCCGGTGCGTGTTATAAGACCCCAACTATGCTAAAGGCATAAGGTCGATGTATGCACCCAAGTCGATGAAAACTGGGCAAAATCCCGGAATGTATTTTACGCCGCACAGCCTCCAGCAATGTCAAAAATTATTCATCAACAGATACTGATGCATGTTTCGGCTTTTTTGCGACCCACTGAGTCAGTAATCAGTAGTTGACAAACCTCCAACCTTATCAACATGCCTCGGGTTCTGTGACACACTGCTAGTAATAAAAGCATGCCTATCTTATAAAACAACAACTTCATGACATATTTAAGTGTAAACTTAATAATATCTGCTTTTATCCGTCTTTTGTTATATATCTCGATAAGTTTGTGTACAAACCCACAAGTAAGTATATCCCCTACCTGTGGTAAACATCAGCCCGCAGATGATCGTAGCCGTGAAAAGTCGTGCCGCCATCACGCCGCGTCCGGGCGGGCGGACGGTCTGTTGGTGTCCGCTGATCGTGCTGAGGAGACCGTCCCGTCTGATGTTACAGAAATGTAGAGAGGCTTACTGTACACAGTTGGTCTTCTTGCAAGTCAAGTCACGTGAACAGGAATTTTAAGAGTCAAATTGTTCCGAAAACGAAGGCCAAAAAGAGTACAGGAAACTGCCCCGACTAGGTCGTACTTTGGTGATATATATATGCAAAATGTTTTTCCAAATATGCGGTACAATGGCATAGCAACATCAAAGGTCCTGTAATTATGTTCAAAAATAGCTTTGTTGTTAAGCTAAATATTATGAACAATGACGTAGAATACAACCCACACGCCTACTGGAACTCAACATGAATACAGTAAATGCGAGTAATATTTGCTTTCTTATGTTTTTATATTTCATACCAATAATTTTGGGGTGACTTGGTGATATCAGGTGCAGAGAAAAGAAAGTCGGAGAATTATTTGTTGACGGTAATGATCAAGTTCGCGGTACAGAAGTGACGAACATACATAATGAACGTATTTTAATACCGTGACAAAATCAGGAAAAAAAGTAATCAACATCGAGATATTCTCGTCACACCTGTGTTACTCACCTGGAAAAACGCTCTCATTATTCCGGTGTAAGACTGCCTATTGTCATCAACACGCAATGACATGAATATTTAAAAACGCATCACCTACCTTAAAGTTCTGCCAGTATCCTGTGTTGTTCGAATTCCTTGTCACCATAGTGATAGACCGAAAAACATGACCTGAACGAGGAGGAAATTTCAAACATTACTTACCTTACTTTCTTCCCATCGCTCGGTTCCGTCTCCCACAGTGAGACCGCCATCTGTATCCGTCAAATATTTGATACTTTTCTAGTTTTGACCTTGTTTGTCTTTGTTCTCGTCAGAGACCCCTCAACTCCGCTCAGAGCCGTACATTGTTCGCTAGTATTTTCCAAATTCGCACGCTTCACTCTAAGGGACTGTACGATATTTATCGGGGGAGGGCCCATCAAAAAATTTCCCCTGACCCTCCTCCTGGCTTAAAATTTTCCCCTGACCCTCCCCCGGCACTGACATTGAAAATGGTAAAAACGACGGTTGAAAGGACAACATAAAGCATTTTCATTGTCATTACAGCACGCGATTTGTGTGCCCCACAGAAGCAGTAACGTGTCCACCTCCTGTGCACGTTCGAGTGAGCAGGATTGACATGAGAAAGGACCCGTAGTATTCATATTCATGTTTCAAACATGTGTACACAGAATATTTATCACAAAATGACCAACTATTAAAGCATATAGCCCAGATGCACAGTTCATTTAACGTTCATTGTGAAGATGATATCTGCTTCGCTAGAAATGTGCCGACTTTTTGGACAAGGTACTTGGGGCTGCAAGTGTCCGTGTTTTTAACCCATGGAAAAACTGGAGATTCACAAGTAGGCCTTGCAGAGGAAAAGAACGTTTTTAAGCAGGATTTTTGCCCTATACATTTTGGGCTCTACAACTTTTGCCATTTTCCTAAGTTCCTGAGTGCGTCCAACTATTTTTGGCCGAAGGGGGGTAGGCGAGCGCCGAAGGCTCGACCGCTCGCAATCTGGGAGTCCTGGAATTTTTTTATTTTTATACGTCAAATAACGGAATTTTCCTCATTTTGAGAGTCAAAGTGAGAGTGTTTGTCGGTCTCTCCTTTTACCGCCGCTGCAGTTTTCAACTTAGGGACAGCAAATAATTCTTATGGATGACATCAGCGCGCGCATTGATTTTCGCCTGATTTAAAAAAAAACAAAAAAAAAAAAAAACAAGAATTTCATGTTGCCCTCTGACAGGCCGAAGATGGGTAAAAATGGCATGTCTTACAATGTCGGAACGTGTATGGAAGATACATATGAAGAGGGGAAACAAGACAAGGCTGTGATTCCTTGTTTTGTCTTTATTTTGATGCAGTGATGTATTTCATTCCTTTAATATGTACCCACTCTATCAAAACCATTTGTACAATGATTGAAAACATTTGTTTTTCAAATTTGTTTCAGTGACAAATGGATGTTGTAATAGTTGGCAGTGACATTAGCACAGTATAGGTATAATTTCTTGTCAGAATTCGAAAATGTAGGAATCGTTTTTTGCCCGCCTTGTTTTGTTTTCGCCCTATCGCATTGGATTTCGAGTCTGCGGAGGATGTCATTCATAAAATTGAGTTGCTGTGACCTTATTTTTACACAACACAGAGGAAAATACTCATATTCACCTGAGTTACAACAAGTATGATGTTTTAAAAAAACACAGGCGACGCGTGCGTTTACCCTATCTGTTCTTGACAAATCGGTCTTTTCATATATATATACGTACACATGTTAACGCTATGGATACATTTTCTATGTAATTATTGTTTGTTTACATTGAGCCGCCGGAACATTAATGTAACTGGCGTGCGATAAATTCTTAGTCAAAATCAGCAAAGGCAAGTAAAAAGCTTGTGCAGCACCATAAACTCAGCACATATACAGCGAAACTTCTATAACATGATTATGGATTTATTTTGCGGGGTGCATTACACTCTAAAAAGACAATAACCTAATTCTTAGTGTATTTGCGACTCCACTTTCTTGATAGAAGACAACATATTTGAAATATCAATAAAGACAATCATTAATATTCTGTGTGCAAAAAGCCACAGTTTGCCCGAAAAGGTGCCTTTTGCATGCATGGTAACATAGCCATAGGCATTTCCTGCTTGGTCTGATGACCACAAGGCCGGAGGCTACCTCAAAACCAATTCCCTAGGGAATGCATTCGTGCAATTTTTGAAATTCTTTCAAAGCGACCGTAGTACTTACACAAATGCCTCCGCCCCTGAGGCATCGCCAAAAAAACATAAAAACACCTTCTGTCAGGTGACTCAACCTCAGGTGACTCAACCTCACAGTCACACAGACAAACATACATACATACACACCTTCTGTCAGGTGGATCAACCTCACAGTCACCAAGACAAACATACATACATACACACACAGGTGGAAAATGTGCTGAATTTGCCCTTTTTTGTCTTGTATTTTATCTCCTCTTCTCCAAACAAAAACTAAGTATCAGACACCCTACTTCAAGTACTGTTGACAAAGAAACCGGTCAGACTTCTTTGATGGCAAGACAACAACGGGCTTTTCCTCTAGCCCCTCCTTCCTCGGCAAAATCATGAACATGCAAATATTTGATCGGCATGAAGCCACTCTCTCATTGGTCGAACCGCAAATTGTCAAGTTACCATTGGTTGAAGTTGAACTGATAATTGTTATTGACAACTCGACAACTTGAGGAGATGTCTGATGTGCCGTGCCTTTAGAACTGGTCATTTCCTCGGAGGCTACTGAAGATGGAGGGACGTCTGACTCTCTTTGCGCTTCTTATCGTCTTTGGTGAGTAGTTTTTCATTTTTGTGAGATAAAATAAGTTATCTACTAAATACATGTAGTAAAGAAATTATTCACTCTCGACTATAGGTTGTGGTTTTTTTAATATGAGGGGGTCCGTTTTGACTAGGTAAATGCGCACCAAAGTGAGTCCAAACACACGGACGTATTGGTTCATAAAAAAGATGAAATACTGCAAGATCTTAGTTTGAGATGATTGTGTGCCACAATATTTTTTCTATTTCAACATTTATAAACAAGAAATGGCGACGGCACACTCAATATATTTTTTAACTTTATTTTTATGCCACCACCAAATCAACTGAACAGACAACTGATAACTGACATGCTCATAAGTAAAGTGAGGAAATTTAGATACAGTAATTTGCAACAATTAACCCAAAGGAATGAATCTTGTAGCCTGGGTGCCATCCTTAAGTGGAAAAACCAGTCGAGTGACCAGGTTTAAACACTTATTTATCATTGCTCCAGGCAACAGCTCTTTGTTCCAAGTGTCGGCGCAGACTACATCACCATACATCACAATAAGGCTATTTTTCAATCAAATGCCAATGTTTCTTAAATGTTTTAGATGTACATTATTACCTCCGGGGAAGGAGATATCCTTCCGCGGGAAGGTTTTACTATCGTGCGAACCATTTCTGTCAGCAGCTGTTTCTCGCGATCGGCTGGACGGATTTCTCTGGGGTTCGGTATACGTATTGCTATTGGGCTGCAGATGATGCAGAGCGTTTTCTTTTAATTGCATATGTGTTTTTGGGCGTCGAAATAAAAGATGTTGAAGTGCTTCGGACACCCCCGCGGTCCTGAAAATGGTATTCCTAATTGATTTCCCTGTTGTTAAGAATTGGGGCGAGGGCACTGCTGGGTCTAACCATTCAAAAAGGGGTCAAACAGAGGGGTGTCTGGTTCCGATAAAAATTTTGGGTGACTGCGCGGCAATGACGGCGCGGGATGACGGCGGGGGTTAATGGCGCGGGTGACGGTGCAGGCTGTCAGACACGTTAATCAACAGTCCATACCGAACCAACAGTCAGTAGCCATCAAACACATACAAACATATTACGCAAATTACTTTCATACTACACACAAACAAATAACCTAAACCAATGAAACACAAAAAAACCCGGAGGTTTGAAATCTACGATTTCCCTTGTTCTCCATCTGCGGATTCTATTAAGTTACGAACATTGAAGTGCAGCCTTGTGTCACCAGGTGATCTCAATCTTGAAATGATTTAACATTACAGCCTTACAGGGTCCTCACAATCACTTATATAACTGACAGAACATTTTCCATGTTGGTAACAGGTGTTACAGTTTCGGTCATTTACTTCCTATGTTACAGTAACTTGTAGTAATTTACCCATCAATCTTGCCCAGGTCGTACCTTTACTACCATAATCTTGGCTATTGTGGCCCTCGGAGAGATCGCCCTGTGGTGTTCATTCCCTGAATGAGGACTACATATTAAGCTACAGATAATAAGGTATAATTGACAGACAGAGAAATAGCGCTGTCAAATAGCACTATCAAATAGGCCCTAAAACGTTTTTATTGCCTGTGCCTTGCAGGAGGTTCATCACAAGCGACCGCTGGACAAGATATTAGAAGTAAGTGCTTGATACAAATCCTTTTTATCGCCTACAAGTAAACTATGTGTTCACCCCTGTCGTACATGTACATTAGAACATTCAAGAAAACAAATCATTGTATGATGGTGAAGACAGACCTTAATGTTTAAGAAAGCACACGAACACCTATCTAGATTTTCAGAGGGGCATGTTGCATACATGCATAGGTACCTGTAATTCAGTGATAATCTTTAATATTCGCGAACTGTTACTGAAAGAATATGTAAGTGCACTATTGACGGTAATTGCCATTTTTTCTTCATTTAGCCTTTGTCAATACAGGAAGTTCACAACCCAAGACACAAGCGCAACCAGGAAAATGTTGTAAGTGCCCAATACTAATTCTAACATACAGTTGCATTTATTTAAAAAAAACTAAATCATAGCATAGACACCATCTGACATTCGTCTGGTGTTCTGAAGTGCTTCTGTTTTAATCACAGAAACATACGTTCAGTAGATGAATGCAGAAGATTCTCATTGGTTCTTGTGACATTTCCAGCAGGAAGCACTACCAACCTGGCCCTGAACCGCCCGGCGACCCAGTCTAGTACTGACTTTAGAGGAGCTCCCGGACGGGCTGTAGACGGGAACCGTAACGCCATCTATGCCAAAAAGTCTTGTTCTCACACGGCAATGGAGCGGGATCCATGGTGGCGAGTCGACCTGGGCAGCAGCCAGTGTGTGGATCGGGTGGTCGTCGTTAAGCGACAGCGCATCGGCGGTCATTGGCTGGAAGGCTTCCAGGTTGTCTTTTCATTTCTGTCTGATGTCTGATCCTTAAAACTACAGTCATCGCATAACAGATACATGGACACAGTCATAGATTAAAATGAGCTTGGAAACTTATACAAAATTTGTTTCTAGGTTTACGTTGGCGACAACCCGAACGTGGTGGAAAACCCTACCTGTGGCGGAAAGCAGTCTGTTGCTGGGAAAGATGTCATCACGGTTGACTGTGGCGGACTGACGGGCCGATATGTGGGGATAGCTCTGCCCGACAAGAAACAGTACCTCATCCTGTGTGAGGTGGAAGTTTATGGAGGTACGGTTGGCTGAAATTCTTCAGAATCTATGGAATGGTCGTCACATTGCTAATCGTGTATGTCGTATGCGTACCTTACCAAAAGTTAAGAACATGTGACACTGACCTTACATGTATGTCTTCTACCGAAAAAAAATTAAGGGATTTTATACTGTGATCAGGATCCCTGTTGGACACAATCTTTGACCATTTACAGAACCCAAATGTCTCCCTTAAAGGAGAAAACATTATTCTCTATTCTCGATGTGTTCCAGGAATGTCACCAACTGAAGTCAGCAGGCCAACGCTGAAATATGGCCAATGTGGTAAGTGCCTAAATCAATTAAATTTAACAGCTTTTCATGTGTATAGTCCAAAGCAAAATGTGTAGCTAGTAGTATCTCAGTACCAAAAAAAAATCAATTTATAGCAAAACACGTAACCATTAGTTAAATTATCCATATTGTAAGAAACAAGCCCCTTAAGATATGATTTAAATCTTGTTTTTAATTCAACTGTCTCATTTCAGCATGGTTTAGTTTCAGTACTAGTCAGTTCTTTTAACCATTTCAGATGAGTAAGATTAAAAGAAGCCCTTGGTCTAACATTATGGACAAATGATGCTTGCATTGGACAGTAAAAGGCAAAACTTTTAATTCATATCATGTACTTAAAGTTATTGTTGACGGTTTCGTTCTACATTTCCAGCTGAAGGCACTACTAACCTGGCCTTTGAACCGTCCGGCGACCCAGTCTAGTACTGACTTTAAAGGAGCTCCCGGACGGGCTGTAGACGGGAACCGTAACGCCATCTATGCCAAAAAGTCTTGTTCTCACACGGCAATGGAGCGGGATCCATGGTGGCGAGTCGACCTGGGCAGCAGCCAGTGTGTGGATCGGGTGGTCGTCGTTAAGCGACAGCACATCGGCGGTCATTGGCTGGAAGGCTTCCAGGTTGTCTTTTCATTTCTGTCTGATGTCTGATACTTAAAACAGTCATCGCATAACAGGTGCATAAACACACTCAGTCATAGATTAAAATGAGCTTGGAAACTTATACAAAATTTGCTTCTAGGTTTACGTTGGCGACAACCCGAACGTGGTGGAAAACCCTACCTGTGGCGGAAAGCAGTCTGTTGCTGGGAAAGACGTCATCACGGTTGACTGTGGCGGACTGACGGGCCGATATGTGGGGATAGCTCTGCCGGACAAGAAACAGTACCTCATCCTGTGTGAGGTGGAGGTGTATGGAGGTACGGTTATGTGGATTTCAAAATAAAATGATGGTTCCTATCGAATGTATTCTACGTCACCAGCATTTCTGTCATCTTGATCCTATGGTATTCTTTTTGTCTTGTTTACAAATTTTAAACCGCCTACCAAGAGACAAACGATTTTGTTTAATATATCCTATAAATCATGTTTCTATTAAATCCGAAGGCCTGCATGGGCCTTAAAATCAAATCTTGGCAGGAAGAAATCCGAGGTATACTGCAAACCCCGGGGGGTTGCAGTATACTTTGCAATGCTTCTAAGATGTCCTAAAATTAACAGTAATCTTGTATTTTTTAACTTTCCAGGTGTGACAATGAAACCACAAAAGGCCGAACTGATAGGTAGGCCTTTATACTTGATCTTAATGTATTCAGGGTGTGATAAATAAAGATTTGCAATTTTTTGAAAACAGTGTCAGAGGAGATACACTGAATCGGCGAAATTTAGCTTGCAATGTTTCTATTTTGTCCTTAAACAAACAGTAACCCTTTTTTTGTAATTTTGACAGGTTCAGTGAAAGCTCAAGACGCCGGATCGACAAGTAAGGCCGTTACTCACGTGAATATAGTTTGTACTCACGTGACTATAGTTTAGTGTCCGCCATGGCGGTGGGTTAATAACGGTCAATCAATAACATGAAATGTCTAAGGAGGACGTTAAAACAATGGCAATGCTTGATTAAAAACAGTAGGAGCTTCCACATACAAATAGATAATGATGTTTTCGTTAATTTTGCAGGCTCTGGTCTGAAACTTCAAGCACCAAAACCGAAAGGTAGGTTTTTAATTCTTGTTTTGCGTAGATTGCGATGATTAGCTGCACAAGGAATTCAGTCAACTCATGTCGTTCAGAAATGACCACACAATAGGAAAGCTATGTGAATTCATCAACAGTCACTTTGAAAAGAAACTCAAGACTTAGATTAGATATATCATACTTTCTAAAAGTTATTGAAACGTGTACATCCTTCTTTTATTGTATTACATGTACTATATGATACCCAGTATCCATACACATGCAACACCATACTCGTTTGTACGCATTTAGGCACATGGGCATGAATATAAAAACAAGACTGGCAATGAGAGCATACATTGCCATGGCGTCGGTGGTTGCTGTTAGGGTTATTGTTCGCATGGTACTGCCATCATTTCATGATTTTGAGGAAGACTTGGTACCCTCTCCTCCCCTCAGTATATAGAGAAACCAGCCCCGGGGTCACAGAAATTAAGGCATCCGGGCCAGAGAGGTTCTCCCCATGGGTCTTCCCAAAGGTTTTCAGGAATGTAGGCATAGATGTGAGTCAGAGACATGCCTGTGGACATTCCATTCCTGTGAACAAAATGCCTGTACGATTCCTAGAATTCTTGCGAACTGCACACAATACTGTACCATTAGGCTCCTCCCTGAGACGTCACCAAAAAATTTGGTTAATAAAACGTTACGATCACACCCATAGCTTACGCGCCTCCACGCGCACCTCAAGCGCCGAAGCCGAAGGTTGTCCAGACGACCGGCCAGGAGAAACCAGGCGCCGGGCACGGAGTGGTCATCACGATCGGACGGGGCAGCTCCGGAGGAAGCTCTGGTGGGTAGATGGAATGCGCGAATGTGTTTCAGATACCATCTGATATTATGTGTCATCAGTACAATAAATAAAAATCCGTTCTCTTTCATATGTTAATAAATTTGAATCTCCTCGCCATTCTCAGTTGATAAACTCCACTCATAAAAGATTTTCGATGGTATATTGGCTTATTTTGCAATACGTGATATTTGACCATGAAATATGGAACGTAATGCAGAGGTCCTATGTTGGAGAAAATCACGTTGTTGAAGAATCTCACAGGCTAAGTTGGCATTTTAACTTTCCATCGTTTTGTCACAAACGAAATTTAGAAAGAACTGTAGTTGTACTGAATATTAATACCTGTGTACAAAGGATTATGAATATGATTTTTGGGACCATATGGATGACGTCATCACATTTTATTGCCCCAAATACAATTTAAAGTTATAATGCAGCACTTTGGGACAAATAACTGCAATAAAAGTATGATTTTCATGTGCATAATGGTTAAAGGTTCAAATGTACGTTTGCACAAATTGATATCTACTAATTACTTGTAGTCATCAGAGAATACCCTAATAGCCTAAAAGCTAGTTATTCTCTAATAGCTGCGGGTAATTAGTAGATATCGATTTGTGCAAACTAGCCAGTGAGGAAACCTTAAAGAAAGATACAAGTAGGCGTGGAGTTGAAAGTTGGCGTGACGACCACAGTAGCTTCAAATCTCTTTTTAATTGTTTGTAACTGTTGAAAATCGTATGTTGATACCCTTTTTTTTGTTTCAGGATCTGCCGGGGATGGAGCAATTAACATCATTAACAACCAGATCTCCGTATACAGCAGCGGTGGTGGGTGTCAATGCAAAACGGCCAGATGTGGTAAGGATAATTATTGTGTGTGTGTGTGTGTGTGTGTGTGTTTGTTTGTTTGTGTGTGTGTGTTTGTGTGTGTTTGTGTGTGTGAGTGTTTGTGTGTGTG